TAGTATAAAAGAGCAAACTTTAAATTATTTTTCATAAAATAATGTCTTCGAGAATAAGAATGATTCTGAAGAACTACAAAGAGGCTTCTTAATCGATGAAATCAAATTCATAAAAACTAGAGATTAAGAATCTTTATAAAGGAATATATGGATAGTAAGAATATATATTTTTGATTACTTTATTAAAAATGTAGCATTTAACTAAGAGACATAGATATTGATTAATCTGTAATTACAATGATGAATGAAATAAATTGTATTTGGCATTCGATTATAATTGAAAAGAAAACACTTCTTAATTGAAATGAATTTATTTATTGAATATTTATAGATGAGATATTAATTTTTAAAGTGAATAGAAATAAATAGATTAAGCTTTTGATAAATAATAGAATTAGATATTAATCAATAATAAAATTAATTTATTCTATAAAGAATGTCTAATTAGGAAATAATGAGGATTGATTAATATGAAATCTCTTTGAACAATATTCTAGGTAGAGGTTAATATGGGATAGTATATTAATGTAAGAACAGATAAAACCCATAAGATAATATATGTGCAAAAGTTATAATATATTAAATAATAGATTATTGCATAAAATTTGAATGACTCAAAAACTGAAAGAGAAATGCAGTTGATGTAAATGATAAAATAGTAGGGAAAGAATAATAAAAATATAGTTGGTGTTCATCATGTAGACATAAATTAAGAGAGAATAGTTTTAATATTGGAAAGATGTGAATACGATTTAAGTTAATTATTTAAGGCTAAATTAAAGAATGAAAATAAATTTTACACTCCTAGTGAGGTAATAAATATTTTGAAATAAATTGTTAATGGTTATAGACTACTTTATGATAATAATATAATTCATAGAGATATGAAACCTGAAAACATACTTTATTTAAAAGGAGTATATAAAGTAATTAATAATACATACTAAAAAGATTGCTGATTTTGGATTAGCTAGAGTATATAAAAATAATGAAGAACTTACTAAAGCTGGTACTCCAAAATATGCTTCACCATAATTATTTATTTAAAATGCTTAATTTACTAATTCTGCTGATATCTTTTCGGTATAATTTATAATTATATATTAAGTTGGGAATTATTTGTTATGAACTTATGTTTGGAAATCTACCATATCCAATTAATTCTATTTCAGCATTAATGTCTAGCTTATAAAAATTAGAATATTCACCAGTTAAAGTTGATAGATCGATTTAAGGCGTAAACTCACTTTTTTATTTTCTAGATGACTACAGAAATTGCAGAATTAATTGAAAATATGTTGAGATATCATGAAAATAATAGAATAAGTTGGATAAATTTATTTTCTCATCCTTTATTGAGTGATATTCCAAAACTACCTATACCAATATTCAAACCATATGCTGCTACTTAATAATAAGGAAGACAAAATTTTTAATAATCTGATCCAAATACTTAAAGAATATAAACTCCTATTAATATTATGCCAACAACAGATATGTCAGATAAAAACTATTAAATTGCATCCTTTATCAATTAAGTATTAGATTCTTTAGATAAACATATGTAGTATTCTTTTTTTATCTAGAAATCAATAAAAATCTATACAAGCTGATTTAATCAAAATCAAATAGCAATTATATTATTTAACCTCTTGCTTCTATGAGCATAGTAAAGCTATTAAAGCTAATACTTTTGGAAGATTCAATTATAGTTTAGCTGATGTTGATGCTGCCATTAATAAATTAAATTAATCAAAAATATTACTCAATGAACAAATACATAATTGTGGATTAGCAACAAGCTTTCCTATGAGAGATGTTTAAGCTGATTACAATGGCTATTTCTTTTACTTAAGTAATTTATTATCGACAAAATTTCTATTTCCATACTCAAATAAATCCAATTACTATTTAGAATATCTTCAGTATTTTATTTATTTATCAAGATTGATATTTTGTTTATAGAGGTTGAAAGAACTAAACGAACAAAAAGAGTTTTCTATCATCTATCAATAAATTATGGACATTTAGAATTAATTATCAAATGAAATAAATTTAAGAAGATATCTTAATTCTAAATTTAATATTTGATTTATATTTTATTTTAAATATTGNGTTAATGGTTATAGACTACTTTATGATAATAATATAATTCATAGAGATATGAAACCTGAAAACATACTTTATTTAAAAGGAGTATATAAAGTAATTAATAATACATACTAAAAAGATTGCTGATTTTGGATTAGCTAGAGTATATAAAAATAATGAAGAACTTACTAAAGCTGGTACTCCAAAATATGCTTCACCATAATTATTTATTTAAAATGCTTAATTTACTAATTCTGCTGATATCTTTTCGGTATAATTTATAATTATATATTAAGTTGGGAATTATTTGTTATGAACTTATGTTTGGAAATCTACCATATCCAATTAATTCTATTTCAGCATTAATGTCTAGCTTATAAAAATTAGAATATTCACCAGTTAAAGTTGATAGATCGATTTAAGGCGTAAACTCACTTTTTTATTTTCTAGATGACTACAGAAATTGCAGAATTAATTGAAAATATGTTGAGATATCATGAAAATAATAGAATAAGTTGGATAAATTTATTTTCTCATCCTTTATTGAGTGATATTCCAAAACTACCTATACCAATATTCAAACCATATGCTGCTACTTAATAATAAGGAAGACAAAATTTTTAATAATCTGATCCAAATACTTAAAGAATATAAACTCCTATTAATATTATGCCAACAACAGATATGTCAGATAAAAACTATTAAATTGCATCCTTTATCAATTAAGTATTAGATTCTTTAGATAAACATATGTAGTATTCTTTTTTTATCTAGAAATCAATAAAAATCTATACAAGCTGATTTAATCAAAATCAAATAGCAATTATATTATTTAACCTCTTGCTTCTATGAGCATAGTAAAGCTATTAAAGCTAATACTTTTGGAAGATTCAATTATAGTTTAGCTGATGTTGATGCTGCCATTAATAAATTAAATTAATCAAAAATATTACTCAATGAACAAATACATAATTGTGGATTAGCAACAAGCTTTCCTATGAGAGATGTTTAAGCTGATTACAATGGCTATTTCTTTTACTTAAGTAATTTATTATCGACAAAATTTCTATTTCCATACTCAAATAAATCCAATTACTATTTAGAATATCTTCAGTATTTTATTTATTTATCAAGATTGATATTTTGTTTATAGAGGTTGAAAGAACTAAACGAACAAAAAGAGTTTTCTATCATCTATCAATAAATTATGGACATTTAGAATTAATTATCAAATGAAATAAATTTAAGAAGATATCTTAATTCTAAATTTAATATTTGATTTATATTTTATTTTAAATATTGTATATATATTTATTTATCAATATTTATAAATTTTATTATTAATTATAATAAAAACTAAATTTTTTTATTTTCTTTCATTTATATACTTGTAATGGAAAAAGTGATTCATAAATCATTCCTTCAAAATTAATGTTTATTCAATATTTATCTAATATATTTAACTATCCTATAAATAAACAAAAATTGATATTTACTACTATTTTAAACTTAACTCATATTGACAATTGACATTGATGAAATTTTTACGATATTTTATAATTTATAATTTTTTAATCCAGAAAATATTTAGATTTTGATAGTTCATTCTTTTTTTATTCGTTTCTAGGCTTGTTTAATTTCTTCGTTAATTGAAAAAAATATAAAAATATCATTATTATGAATCGCAATTTATATATTATGATGACTTTACAATATTTAATAGCAATTCTAAACAATTAATATTTATTATAACTAAATTTAAATATAGTTAATTACATCTATATAGATGAATATCCTAAGTAATTAGGGGAGATTATGATCAAGTTAATAAGTTAATAATTTAATTTACAAATCTTTCATAAAATTTACCTAAACTTAAATTATGTTTATACATTGAGATACAATCCTTTTACTTCAAGAATCACTTTCAATTCTTAAAATAGAATTTAATTGAATAAATAAGCTAATTATGATTTAATGTTTCTTATTTAAATTCAATTATAGAGTGAAATATTAATTTTAGGCTGTTAGCCGCATTTCAATAATTTTTTTTAAAATGCATAAAATTATTTATTATTAAACTATTTATGGGTAATTCTAACTGAAATAATTAATTTAATAAAAAAATATAAAGTTATAATGAATTAAAAATTAGGTAAAGAGAAATCTCTTAGCCATAATGAAAATGATTAAGAAATAGATCAAAAAGAATTAGATAATGAAAAAAAAAAAATATGCTTAAATTGTTTTGGAGAAATTAAAGAGAAGGATGCAAAACATTTTAAAAATTAAATTAATTAGATAAACTAAAAAAAATAATCGATATAGTAAGATAGATCTAATTAATTAAAAATAAAATTAGATAACCTAAATAATTTAAATGGATTAGTAGAATAATTAAGAAATTTTTATGCTGAATAAATGGAATAAATTGTATTTTCTATAAAAAATTGGTCTTAACAATTAATTGATGAGGACGAAGTTTTTATAAAAAATTTATAATAAAATGAATATAGTGACTACAGTTAATTTATGCAATATATAAGGAAAGAATAAGATGCTTAAATTAAAAATTAGACAGATTAAATAAAGAAAATTAATCATCTAATTCTTAATCTAAAAGAAACAGATTTAGTTAAACAATGTTTAATATTTCTTGAAAGTTAAAATATTAATCCAATTTTATTAAAAATAAATAATGGGAAAGAAAATAAGATTATTGATGAAGTAATTTAATATCAAAATTAGAATTAGGAACTTAATCTCATATGTGAAGAACATAAAAAATAAATCACATTATTTGATCTAAGTGCAAAAAAGTTAAACAATTAAAAACGTATTGGATGTTTAGATTGTTTAGATGGTACTATTAATTAATATACTTCTATTAAAAGAGCTCAAAATATGTGGCAATAAATATAATAATAAAAATTAGAGAAAATGAATCAACATGTTGAAATTTTAAAAATAAAAATAAAATCTATAAAGGAATACTTTTTGGCTATGTAAAAAAGTCTTAATAATTCAATAGAGAATGCAACAATTAAAATAACTCTTTATTAAGAAGATTATATTTTAAAAGTTAGATAGACAAATATTTAATTAATGAATACATGTTGGCAATATTTAAATAAAAAATAATTAATTGAAATTGCTTAAGAATTAAGCTAAATTAATTAATTAAGTATTTAAGAAGATCCTTTAATGGATGAATATTGCATTTAAGAAAATTTCGTTTATGAAATAGCTAAAGACACAATAAAATCCTTACAAGAATGTTAAATAACCTATTCAGATTAAATTAGTCATTTAATTAATAATTAAATAATAACATATCATTAAGAGAGTAGTAATAAACAAATAGAAAGTTAAAGTACTGACATAATAGATTAATAAAAAATAAAGTCAACAATATTAGAAAATAAAGAATAAGAGTAGTAATTATCAATAAATCTTAAATAAGAATAATAGTAAATAATAGATAAATAGTAACCAACTCAATCAATATTGTCTTAAAAATAATAAAAAGTACTTTAACCATTCAAATTTAACTTAATAGAAAATAGTTCTATTTAATAAAATGAATTTTGTAGAGCAATAGCATTTAATTAAGATTGTACGATTGTGTTAGCTGGTTGTAATAATCTTATTAAAGTTTTTGAATTTAAATAAGAATAATTAAAATTTACATAACTTTTAAGTGAACATTAGAAAGATGTTCATGTTTTGGATTTTATGAAAAAAACAATTAATTTTATATCAGGAAGCGCTGATAAATAAATTATAATATGGTAAATTAATTAAAATAAAGAATGGGAATGTTAATAAAAGTTAAATGGTCATACTCATTATATTAGATGCATGATATTAAATAATAAAGAAAATATGATAATTTCAGGTAGTCCTGATAAAACAATAAAATTTTGGATAAAGAGAAATGAATGGTAATGTGAATAAACAATTACAGATCATATGAGCTGGATCTCTGGATTAAGTTTAAATGATTAATAAAATAAATTAATATCTAGTGGAGGGGATAAATTAATATTAATAATGGAATAATCTAAAAAAGAGGATAAATGGATAGTAATTTAAAAGATTATTGTTGAATAATATGGAGATAGAATTTGTTTTATAAATGATGATCTATTTACTTTTTAACCTTATTCTGAAGAATCAATGCATATTTACAAATTAAAAAATAATAATTAATATTTAAAGTCGAAAGAAATTGCTGTCAAAGGAGGTAGTTCAGGTGATAGTTACCTATTTCCATAAAAATATATTAAAAATAAATGTCTCTTATTAAATAAGAATGGGAATAATATTAATTTGATAAGATAAAAAGAAAATGGAGATTTTATAATTGAATAATCTATTGATTTTGAAACTTATTATTTATTTGGATAAATCAGTGAAGATGGAGAATATTTAATTACTTGGGATAATAAATCAACCTAAATTTAATTAAGAAAATACCATGAATAATGATATCATAAATTTTTATTTTGAGTTTTAAAGCTTTATTTTTTAGATTTAATGATCAATATTATTAATTATTTTATCTGATTATAAAATTATTGATATTTGTAAATATTATTTTACTTTATAATACTTTTGAATAATAAATATTTAACACCTTAATATTAAATATTTTATAAAGAAATCAATTTATTAATTTTAATTAATACTAAAAAAATTCAAAATATATGACAGATATTTAGAATTCTTTATAGTAAACCAAATTTCTAACATCTTCAGATGAATAACGAAACTTTTTTGAATTTAAATGCATGGAGTATATTTAGAATATTCTTGGATGGAGAATTCCAAAAGAAACTTAACTTTAAATAATTATTACAAATAATTAAGAAATGATATATCAGTCTTTAGATGGTTTCATCTTAAGAATGTAAGGACTTTTTAATTTTTAGTAATAATTAAAAGGATATTTAACAAGAAAATATACTAATAAATATGATACAAATAAAACAGCTTTAATGGATAGGATCTAGTAAGAATTGTAAAAAAATTGGAAAATGGATAGCTACTATGAATGGACAAGTTTTAGGAAGAGTTGGGGGATATTACTCTGAAAATGGAAAAAAATAAGGACTATGGTAAAATATAATTGAGAACTATGAGGAGTAATATATTATTGAAATTATTTTCCTTATAGGATTTCAAATAATGTTTTAGAATTTGGAAAATATTATGAAGATAAGAAATAAGGGATTTGGAAATATAAATATTTAAATGAATTAATGTAAAATAGTATATATATAATTTTAGTGATGGTGGAATATATGATGAATATGGATTGAAATAAGGCAGATGGATAGATTTAAATTAGAAATTTTGGGAGTATAAATAATGAGGAAATTTCCTCTCATTAGTTTTAGTTAAGTCATTTAGGAAGGTTAATATAGAAATAATATAAAATTTGGGAGATGGAATATAAATTACAGAGAATATGGAATGAAGAATTTTGAAATTGTGTATTAAGTGTAAAATGATAGTTTTATAAGTGGATGGGGATAATTTGAAAATGATGGATTAAAAAATGGCAAATGGATTGAACTTAGTGAAAACTTTTGGGAGTAAAATTATTAATTAAATTATAATTAGTTTATGTTAAATTATTTATATTGGTGAATATTAGAATGATATAAAAATTGGTTTATGGGATATAAATGTTAGAAGAAGTTTTTCTGAATAATTTAAAAAAATGTAAAAATAAACAAAATATCTATAAGTGGTTAAGGCTTATTTGATGAATAAGGCTTAAAAAATGGTTACTGGACAGAAATAAATCATAATTTTAATAGGTAGTTATATTTATAATAAAATATAATAGATTCAGTTAGATTACTTAAAATGGGGAATATTAGCATGGTAATAGAATTGGAAGATGGAGAATTTATTATAGAAGAGATTATAATGAATCATTAGAAATTATGTAAAAACTAGGCAAGAATAATTTTTAGAGGAGGTGGATAATATAATAATTAAGGTTTAAAGATTGGTTATTGGATAGAACTGGATAATCTATTTTACATGTATTATTAATGAAGAGATATATCTTTATTAGTTATAATTAAATCATTTATACAGGTTAATATTAGAATGGATTAAAATATGGGATTTGGGAAATCAAACATAGAAGAGAATAATAAAATTTTGAGAAAATGTAATATAACTATAATCTTATAATGATTAGTGGAGGGGGATTATATGATGAAAAAGGAAGAAAAAATGGAGAATGGATAGATTTAATAGATGATTTTTATTCGTAATATTTATTATTACATTTAAATAGGAATATATCGTATTCAGGTATATATTAAAATGGTTATAAGATTGGTAGATGGAATATTTATTGCAGAAATAGTAGTGAAAATCCTTTAATATTATAGTATACTATAAAAATTATTAAATTAGTGGTGGAGGATATTATAATGAATAAGGATTAAAAAATTATAAATGGGTAGATTTATGTGATAATCGATCTCTGTATATATAAATTATTAATAGCTAAATAACTCTTAATGGTGAATATTAAGAAGGTAAAAAAATAGGAATATGGAATATCAATTATAAAAAAAGTAAAGAGAAACCATATGAAATAATGTAATTATATATAAAAGATTATATTTTTTTAGTGGAGGAGGATCATATAATATATAAATGTAAAAAAATGGTAAATGGATTGAATTAAGTAATAATTTTTGGGAGTAATTCAACATTTTTTAATTTTTTTAGTTATTGTTAAATTACATATGATGGAATATATGAAAATGGCTTAAAGCTTGGAAGATGGAATATCAATTATAGAAATAATGGACAGAGTTAATTTTATGCTTTGTATATATTTTCTTAATAAACTACTCAAGTGGGGGTGGAATATATAAAAAGTATGGTTTTAAATAAGGTTAATGGATTGAAATAAGTGATAATTTTTAAGAGTATATAAGATTTGATATATATAAATATATTAGGGATTAATAAGTAGCTTATTAAGGTTAATATAATTCTGGATTAAAAGTTAATAGATGGAATATATTATATAGGGATTATTATGATAGTTAATTCAATATAATGTAATACTGAATCTAATTAAATCTTAGAGGTAGTGGGGCATATGATGATTTTGCCTAAAAAACAGGTAAATGGATTGAATTGAGTGAAAATTATTCAGAGTTTTTATTCATTATTTTAAATTTTCTAGTAATTTTAAGATCATCTATCATGGAGAATATGTAAAAGGATTAAAATTTGGCTTATGGGATATCATTTAATATAGAAAAGACAATTATCATAATGAGTTAATGTAAGATATTTATACTTTAACTTATTATATTAGTGGATATGGATTATACAATTCTCAAGGTTACAAAAATGGAAAATGGATTGAATTAAAAAATGAATACAATGAGTATTATATATCTTATAACATCTAGAACTTATTAGAACATTTTTATTGGAGTATATTACAATAGCAAGAAATATGGAAAATGGGATATTATGGAGAGGAATATAAATAATATCAATTAAGAATTCGAAAAAATGTAAGTGAAATATATTATAGTGTAGAGGAGAGTAATATTTTAATTGATTTTTAATAGATTTATCATTATTTTTCTGATAATATTTTAACTTAATCATATTTTCTTATTTTTATTTTAATTCCTTCTTTTCAACATTTTATTATCTATTCATTAAAAAAGAGACAGATTTCTTATTTTTAATAGAAACTATTTAAGTATTTAAAAGGATTCAACTAAAAATATAATTCTAAATTTAGATTTATATATTATTTAAATAAGTACAACCCAACAAGATCTTTAAGAATCTTTTCGTTTATTGTTTCAAACCTAGATAAGTAAGATAAATTTAATATCAGATAGACAATTTCAAAATTCTATTCATTTCCAAAAAAATATTGTTTTTATATTTTATTGAACCTAAATGTGACTTAATAATTAAATCTGTTCTCTGTACAATTTTCCTTATTAAGTATCCCTTTATAAAGAAAATTTTTTTTAATTTAAATTATTAAAATTTGTGTCTTATTTTTGATTAAAATGATATGTTATTTTTAAATACTAATATTAAACAAAAATATTTGCATCAAATATTTGAATATAATTCTATTTAAAATTTATTTTATTAATTGTTCTGTTCTTTTAGTGATTAGCTCAAATATTTTTCTAATTAATTCCTTTTATAAAAATCAATTATTTCTTAAAATTCAAAAATATTAAAGTTTTAGACATTTTTAACATAAAATATGTTCCTCACTTAAAATTTTTATTTCAATCTATTTAGTCTTTAATAAATTATTTCTTTAATCATATCAATAATTTTAGTATAGTTTTTGGTTATAATTATTTTATCAGTTTTAGAAGTTAAATAGTAAAATAAATTTATAAATCTTGATAACAATATGCTTATAGATTTTAATACAAAGTTACCCAATTCATAATCTCAATTTTAAGATCAAAAATTTTTATTCATTCATAATAATTTAATTGTATAAATTATTTTTGATGTTAAATAATATCTTTACCATTAAATATTAATATTCAGTTATAAAAAATACTAATAGCCAATTAAAATTTCAATTTATAATCTTTTACAATATGAAAAATACCTTTTGTGTATTGATATTCTTTATTTAAAGTATGTAATAACTAAATTCTTTATTTTTTTATTTAACTAACATTATAAAAAACAGCATTTCTAAAACAATCAAAGTTTATACTATTCTAAACACTTTTATTTTCTAATTAAAGTAGATTAAAGAATTAACATTAATGATCATTAAGATTGAATTATCCATAAATTAGAAATGAAAATATTCTAATGAATTAAGAATGTAAAGGATTAATTAAAATATTAATAAAAAATAGGTTAAAAAACAAAAAATCTTTGCTTATAAATAAATATATTTACCATATTTAATCCCAAGACAACAGGAAATATTATATAATATGAATATTTTCTTTGAATTTAATATTTAATAATCTATTATTAATTGATAGGAAACAAATAAAAATTGAATGACTTTTATATAATTAATTAGAAATTTTATTATTAGACTTTTTAATATTATGTTTCATTTATATTATAATTCATATAATGAGTAAACTCCTTTTTGATCATCCCAAATTACTAAATATTTTCCATTTTCACAAACAGTGCCAAAGCTCCATTTAGTACCACAATCAATCTCATTTTAAATAATGAATTTCCCATTAATTTCTCTTAAAATATATATAATATTTTTTGATCTAATAAATAATACATTTTTATCTTTTAAATAAAGAATAGGAAATAATGCACATCCAAGATTCTTATTATTAACTAATTATATTCTATTATCAATATCTTCATAAAAGATTCCATCTTTTGATTCAAATAAACAAATAAAATTTAATTCTTTACTATAAGGTATCCAAATGAATAAATTGTCTTTTATAAATTTAATATGACAACCTGAAGAATCCAAAACAGAAGTAATAACTTACTTAAATTAAAACTTTTCTGATTAATCAATTTCCCATAATATTATTTATTAATCATCAGCACAAGAAACTAAAATATTTTCACAATCATTTAAACTTATGGCTCTAATAGAATTCGTATGTTTTTCTAGAGAATAAAGATATGTCAATTAATTTTGGTTAAAATCTACTTACCATACTATTATTTTTTAATCTTCACCTGCAGAAAATAATTAATTTTCACAATTATTAAGAATCATACTTCCAATCCATCCTTTATGTTCTCTATACTATTATGATCCTTACCATTAATTTTAATTAATTTATTTCCATACTATTATTGTTTTATCATTTGAACATGATATAAAACTATCTTATTTTTTACTATAAACTATACAATAGATATAATTACTATGTCCTTATAAAGTTTATTCTAAATTAGGTTTACCATCAATCAATTTCCAAACTTTTATTTCAGAATTACTCATAGATACCATTTATGTTCCATTTTTATTTAAAGCTATTGCATAACATTTACTCTTTTATTTTATAGAATCATCAATTAATTAAAGTGTAACTGATCCTTCTGTTTATTTTTAATTACCAGTTGAAGTTGATTCTTAAAGTTATTCAAATTAATTTTATAAATTATTTTATTATTATAATAACTTTTATGGTTAAATTGCTTCTTCTTTCACTTACATATTTTAACCTAAATTTAAAAGTATTTCCTAACACTTTTAATATATTTTAAAGGAACTAAATTATTCCAATTTTTCATTTATTTTTATATTCCAAAAACTATTAACTTTATTTATTTCGTTCATTAATAAAGATTTATCAATTTAATTTTCTAATTATCTAGATATTAAATTTTCTAATTCTTTATGAAAACTATATTAAGAATATTCATGTCCAACTGATAGTAAATTCTTTATCCATCCCCCACTATATCCTATTATTTCATCCAATTAAAATGATATTGCTGACTTCAATTTATGGATATTACCTAAAAGCTCTTCTATTTACTTTATTTTTAATTAAATAGTCTTCTCTATTGATTCCACCTTCTCCTTTTAATTTTTCTTTATTTATTTCATCACTAATTCATATCCTATTGTTGAAAATTGAGTAGTGAAATTCTTTATACAATCCTAACATAAAAGTCTCTAATTTTATTCTAATTTTGGATCCAATATAACCATAAGAATAGGTAATTTATGTTTATTAGCACATTTTAGATCCTTTTCTTTTTCTATCATAGAAGATTTAAACATTTCTTAAAATTAATTATCATGACAATATTTTGGAGGCTTTTATTTTTATATATAAAACAAATATATTTAATCTATTTTTATCTTTTTTAAATAAATACTTAAAATCCCTTCATTTATACAAATTCTTTTCACTTTTAATTCAAAATATTTTTATCCAAAAAATTTCAAATATTTTTCTTCATATGATTTATGTTTAATTAACAAAATATATTTTTATTTGGATAATTTTATTAGATTCATAATTTGTAATAATTTCAGTAACTATAATTATTCTAGATTGATAAAATCTCATTATTTTTAGATCTTAAAAAATACTATTAAATTTGAATATTAATATGTTATAATAATATTTATTAGTAAATATATTATTGAATAAATTAAAAAATAATTAAGTATGAAAAATATTCTATATTATCACAATTCAAATGAAGCCTCAAATAATATTTATTAATCTGAATGTATTTAATTCAAAAATCTGCAAAAAATCTAATTTTAAGTCAAATGAATAACTTATCCAACTACAAGACAAATTTTAAATATAATTTCAAACAATCGTATATTTATAATAAAAATTAGAGAATTATAAAAAGTTTAATGATATATCTAGCCATGACATCATAAATAGTATTTATAATATTCTTAATAAAAATATATGTTGCATCCATTTTTTTATTCAGCAAAACAAACCCATCTACTTTTTTTTTATATTATAATCAATATTTGTTAGTGTAATAATAATTTATAAATAAGCTTTTTCAGCAAAATAAATCTAAATCTTTTATTCAAAAAATCTTCAGATTTTTTTTATATATAGAGTAAAATTTTTGTATCTTGATAGACTAAATTTTGAATTAATAATAAATTGTCAAAAGGATTTTTTATATTTTTTAATTTTCTATATTAATTGTTTAATATTAGTTAATTATAAATCTAATCATTTTTTATCAATATCAAGTAAAGTTCTTTAGAATTTAATTGTATCCAAAAATTAAGGAAAAATATCTATTTTAATTTTTAGATATTTCAAGATCTTTATAACAATTTAATTAGTTCGATAAAATTATTTAAATTCAAAAATTGATTAGAAAGTTAAATTTAAAATTTATTCTAAATTTTTTTTAATTGTAATTAACATGAAATTCATAAAAAATCTTAAACTTAAATTAAATTTTGCCTTAATAAAGAAGAATTCCACTATTTTTCATTAAATCTTATAGTTGACTTATTATATTAATGAATTAATAATTACCACAAAAGTTTATCCAAAGTATTTTAAATAATATTTTTTAAAACATTGTAATAGGTAACTTACTCATTCCCTATATTTGATTGAATTATTTATAATTCTCTTGAATGTAAATAATTCTTTTATTCTTTAATTTTGTACTTAAGTAATCTTTGTTTAAAAATAATTCAAACTATACTTATTCAGTATTAAATAAGCTTCAATTAACTTATTGTTTTTATATTCATTGTTTAAATTTAATTAAGTTTTATGAATTCAACCCTTTAAAAGTCTTAATAAATAGGATTCAAGAGATCATAAATTAAATATGTTTTAATTATCTTCATATTTTTGTATTCTTTTGGAGTACCTTAAGTAGAAATATTTTAAATATAACAATAAATAAAAATTAGGAATTTTATTCTGATTTTAATTTATTATTCTAACTAATTAACTGATAAGAAATAATATAACTTATGTATCTTAAAAATAAACAAGTTTTACTTGCCAGGTTAATTTTCGAATATATTATTTTCAATTAAAAGAGGCTGTTTGACTTTTTTTTTAATTATTTTTGATTGGTTTCGCTCAATATTTTTTTCATTTAGGGAGTAATTGTTTGAAATCTAAAAATTTCTCCTGCTCATTTGTCTATTATTATAAACTAAAATGCTTTTAGCTCATTCAATTATTTTAGTTATCTATACTCTTGTTTATTCCTCTTGTTTTTGTTTTTGTATTATATTCCTCTTTTCTCTTAATCTATATTTTTGATCATAAAATTGTCCTTTTTATTACTCCTTAAAAATCTCATTTGCTTAGCTTGTTTTTAAATTTTTAGATAGATCTAAAATAATATTCATCTAATTTTACATTAAATCGTTTTATAAATATTTATATCTTATTGTGCAGAATTATTTTTCTTTTTTGTATCTTCTATTTTCTTAGACATTGATTCTTCATCTCCATTAAACTTTATACTTTATTCTTAATCTCCTTCAATTAGTAAAGAAAATCATAAGATTTTATTAAACCCTCGAATAAAATATAATTAATAATGTTTTGTTGTTTTTAAAGTTCTATAATATTTTGTTATTTAAATTTATTCAAAATTTCTTTTTATAATCAATATTAGATCCATTTATACTTTAAATGATATTTAATTAATGTTTCTTCTACATATTTTTATATAGAAAAATATATTATTGATAAAAATTGATTTTATTAAAACCGTTTTAAATGATTGTTTAACATAAAATGTTGAGTAATAATTTAATAAAAAATAAGCTTTTAATACGAGAATATTATTTTTTTAATAAAGTTAATAGCTAATATTTAGAAATTAAAAATCTGCCAATATAGATCTTAAAAATATTTTGTTGTTAGCTTGGCATTTAAAAACAAAAAAGTAAAATTTTTGCTTAAGATCTATTCGCTTATGAGATTCATTATTTAAATAAATTTAAAATGATAAGTAATTAGCTTAAAATATTATTTTATGCTTACCTTTAATGATTAATGCTTTATTCAACTATTTTAATTGTAATTTATCATGCTCAAAAATAGATTTATGGATATCTTTTTGGATGAATTAAAACAAAATAAGTTTTTATTTTATAAATTTAATTTGACTTCATACTTCATATAATTGTAGAATTGATTATTTTAATGATTTGATTGAGAAAAGAATAAAGTAAATCAAAAACTTTTTAATAAATAATATAAATATATTTTTATTTTATCTCCTCTTAAGAATTGAGTACTATAATATTCATAACTTTTATAGATAGAGAACAAGATTATATCATTAACACTATTTAATAACCATTTCATAATTTTCATTTCTGCATAATATCAAAATTAAATGCGGATTTTATTTATAATTTTAATATTAATCCTAATCTAACTTCTTATTTTAGGATAAATTCTAAAATTATTATCTAGCCTTGAATTAGCTTAATCATATAATTCTTTGAATCTAATTAACATTGTATGGCATTTATTTAAATAATTAATTTTCACTATTCTATATTATTGTATATAGTCACAATTTCAATTAAGGACTAATTTCACTGTAATTTAATATTTTGTGCAAATGCTTATATTTATCTTTTAGCATTTCCATAATTACCTCCTTCTATTCACTAATTTATTTGAAGGATTTATTAAGATATTGTATTTTTCAATATTGGCCTAAATGATGATTCAAAAGACCTTTCTAAATATTTAATTATTTCTGACTATTGACCCTTAGTTTTATTGATTAAGATTTCTATTTATTACTCAAACATTGAGTATTTTGAATCTAATCATATTTTTAATTTAAAGAGAGGATACAATTTTTTCAAATTAATTCATTAAGATTATAATTATATTTATAAATAAATAAAAATCTACTTATAAAAATAGTATTATAATAATTTTTCAACTTTATTAAACAAATAAGTTGGTTTCATTTAATTAAGCATTTCCTGATTTTTAGTTCTAAAATTAATTTCATTTTAAACTAATTAAATAAGTATACTAAAAAATTCATAGCTATTAATATTAATGATTTAATTTTTTATCAGATCATAATTTTAGGATATCTTTAACAACCTATTCGAATGACATTTTTATTATTTTGTAATTTATATACTCAATTTATATAGTATTTAATGTTAGAAAAGAAATAAATTTTAGATCCTAAACATTCATCAAAATTCAATGTATAT